CCCCCCCCCCCCCCCCCCCCCGCCCCCAGTGCCCGCCGGCTTCGCTGGGGCTACGTGCCTTCAACTCCGCCGGCGCCGCTGCGCACAGACACACCCGAGCCCGGGGATGCTCGTACCTGGGCATGCCCAGCGCCCAAGACACTCGTGAATGTGTCACTGCTCGCACCCGGCCGAGTGTGCCCGGCGAACGCGGGTGCGGCACCGGATGAAAACCAGCCGGGGGCTTAACCATGCGCACGAGCTTGTGGCGTGCGGCGGCCCTCTCTTTCTCCCGGGCCCCGGGGATGTGCGCGGTCTCATATGCAAGTGTTGGCCTCCGAGGCATGGGAGGCGTGGCCCCCCCCCGCCCTCCCATGCGCGGGCCCACCCCACCGTGCGGCCGAATCTGGGGAGCGTGCGTTGGCTAGGCGCACCTGCGCCTGCCACCGGTTGCCCGCGGGCAGGCCTCTCCCCCGGGCCTAGGCGGAGAGACCCAGGCGGTGGGCGTCGTGCCAGCGCGCCCCGGGGAGAGCGCGCCACGGAGAGCGAGAGTGAGTGAGAGATGACCTGCCAACTAGGGCCGGGCGGCGGCGGCGGGGAGTAGGGGGGGGGGGGGCGCCGTCGGTCCTGGTTGTGGGCCGGGCGGCCGAAGCCCCGCCGCCTTGGCCGGTGACCCCTCCTCCCTCCCCTCCGGGAGGGGGTCTGGGCCTTGCAGCTGTGCCCCGCCGTGGGCGTATCCTCCCGTTTGAGGGCGCGACCTCTCGCTCGTTCTGGCCCGCCCGCCCCCCCCCCCCCCAGCCACTCTCCGGCCAGAGTCTGGCCACACTCGGCCTGGGGCGCCCATACGTACGGTGCGCTTCCGCCAAGACGCTCGCCCCGGTCGGCCGAGCGCCGCCACGGGCACCGGCCGGCCGGCCCGCGCCCAGCCGCCAGGCCCCGAGACAATGCTGCTACCAACCCGCGTGCATATCCGCACACGCCTCGGGTTTAGTTGCGCGGCCGCCTCGCACGCCGACTACCCACGGCCATCAACCGTCGGGGCATATGATGAGATTGGGCGCGCCTTTCCCCCGGCCCTCGGCCCCCCCCCTCGGCCCCCCGGGCCACACCCCGCCTGGGCGAGGAGACCACGATGCTCGGCCGGCTTGCCATACACGGGCCGGCCCGCCCTCGCGGCCCTGTGTGTGCATTCTCTCCTCGGCCACGCGAGGAAGAGGCAATTTGTCCGCATCCGGATCCGGAACCAAGCCGCGGTCCCGAGGGTGCTCCGGCCCCCCGTCCCCCCCCCCCCCCCCCCCCGGGGTGCGCGGCGCCCCTCGCCATCCCTCCGTGAATCCCCTCAGGGGAAAGCTCACACACACACACACGCACACACGCTTGCTGGTCAGGTCCCGCGGTCCCCGGCCCCTCAGGAAAAGGGATAGACCGCGGCCATCCGTCCCACGTCGTCTGCCGCGTGGCTGGGACAGATCAAATGACCGCATTTATAGAATATATATTATGCGCCGCTCTGCCCGCGCACCATGGGGCGCCACTATCGAGAAGGACATTGGCGGCCCCCCCCCCCTTGATTTCACCTTACGCGAGCAAGCGCGCCAGAGCCCGGCGCATGCGCGCCCTGGAAGCAGGCAGCATGAAGGCAGCAGGGGCCGGCATCAGAGGAGAGCATAGTGTTGGGACGCAGCGCGCCTGGACGACCGGCCCAGCGGGCGGAGTTCGCCCAGCGAAAGCTGTGGCCATGGACGTCGACCATCCTCCTCTCCCCCCCCCCCCTCCCCCTCATGCCCCCTCGCGCTCGACTCATGTGCACACCACGAGGTGGGGCCGGGCCTCCCCGCTCGCCGGACCGAGAATCCCGGCATGCCAAAAGCACCGGAGGGCGAGGGCATGTGGGCGGCGTCCCCCCGGGGGCCGAAGACGGCGGAAAGCAATCAGCCGGGCCGACCCCCTGGATGGCCTGATGGCCTGGGGATATTCGGTCGCCCAAGGATCGAACGCGGGAGCTGAACCCTTGCCGGGGAATGGGGGGGATTTCCCCCCCCCCCCCCATTCCCCTCCCCCCGGCACCGTTGGTGCCCTCCTGCCGCGGCTCTTTGCACCCCGGCATTTGGCCTTCATCCTGTTGAGCCGGGGAGGGAGTATTTACCGCGGGGCCACCACACCCCGGTCGGCCGGCCCGGCAGGCAGCGACCGAGGTCAGCTGCCAGGGATGCCGCGCCCCGTCTGTCTCTCTTCCTCGCCGTCTGTGTCGGTCCGTCATCGAGGACGCCTCTGTCCCCCTCGGCCTCCCTCGGTTCCGGGGAAAGAGGCACCCGGCTGCGGTATGCGCCTTTCCGACCCGTCCGGGGGACGGCCCGACTCCTGCTGCGGGACCCGCGGCGGCCGGTCGATCGGCCGGGCAGGGAAAAAAGCTGCGCCCGCCATCCCCGGGACTCCTCCGTGCCCCCCCCCCCCTCCTTTTGGTCTGTGGCCCCCATGCCCCGGTAATGGGCCCCGAGAGCATGCCGGCCTGGGGGGGGGGGAGATCACTGTGCCTCCCGCGTCGCCCACCGGCCTGTGGGTCGCACTGGTACCGAGACAGCGCGAGGAATGCTCTCTCGGCGGGGGACCCGGCGGGCCCCGCCCCCAGGCGAATCGTAATATTGTCCCCGCCCCCCTGCCTGAGCCCATATGCCCCAGGCATGCCAACCTCGCTGGCTGATCCCCACCCGCTTGTCTGCCTTCCCCGAGGCCGTCGGACGGCCGCGTTCCTCCCAAGGCCGCCGCACGGCCGCGTTGCTCCCGAGGCCTTGACACGCAGTCGGGGACGACCAAGGCAATGGCATGCCGGACGGTCCCCGGGGCCTCTTTTTCCGGGCCGCTCACCGGCTCGGCCTTTGGTCCTCCCTCCTCCCTTGGGACCTGGCCGCTCGTGCCCCCGGTTCTGTCTGTGCCCCCCCCCCCCCCCGGCCATCCACTGGTGGGATGCTCACACTCGCGGCGGTCCGGCGGCCAGCGCCTCACGTGTCCCGAGAAGCCGAAAGGCGCGCCCCCCGCCCCCCCTCCTTCGCTGGGCGGCGGAGGAACGAGCGAGTCCTCCGCTTCCGGGCGCCCCGTCAGCCTAAAGGGCCGATGCGTCAGTGCCCTGACCGCCGCATCTCCTTACGCGCCTTCCCCCGCCCCCCCCCCCCCCCTCCCCACGGAGACGTCCGAGCTTGATCAGGCACCATGAGAGACCGGCAGCCCACGCTGCGCGACGCTGGCCCCGCCCCACGACAAAAGGGGGCGGCCACGCCCTGTCATTGCTAGGGTGTGTGAGCCGGGGAGGGGGGGCCGAGCCTCGGGACCCGCGTGTGGACTTCTTCCCACCTCGGGGGGAGAGTCTGCAGAGCAAGGGCAGGAGCCAGGCCCTCCTCCGTGTTAAGTGTCCTTTCGCCGCCTGCGGTTTTGGGTGCTGACCTCCCCCCCCCGCTGGCGGGCAGCCACACCGGCTGAGGCCACAGATTCGGGCCGCGGGGCCGGGCGCAGGGGGACACAAGGCAAGAGTGCCCTCGGTCCATGGCCTCCCTCTCCGCATTGAAGGACACCCATTTTCTCCTGCCCTCGTCCACGCCTCATCCTTGGCCAACTCGTCCAACGCCGGGTCGTCTGCACCCGACGGGGGTTCTACCGAGCCGAGCGGCTCGTATCTTCGCCCATTAGCAAGACCACATGATTGGGGGACATCATGCTCGCCTGGCCGCGAACCCCTGTCGGTTTAGAGGCCAGTCAGTTAATGCCCACCTGCCTCCCTCCTGCTGGGCTTATTCTGCGCCGTGTCGTCGCACCTCCGCCCCGCCTCCGCCCCAGGAGGCTGGGGGAGAAGCAGGCAGGGGGGTATGGCCGAGGTGATTACGAGAGTGCTCTGTCCCTGCTCCCTCCCCCGGCGGCTCCCTCAGCACACGAATGAGCCCAACCAAGCCATGCACCAGAGACACACATGAGCCCCGTCAGCCGAGAGGCATCTTTCTGTTGGAAAAGTATTATTGGTACATCACGCATCAAGCGTGGAGAGGGGAGGAGCCGGGTCCCCAGGGAAGAAGGCAGCACATGTTGTCGTCGTCTGTTGTGTGCATGTGTGTGGGGTGAGATGCGTGACACAGGACATGCGCATGCACAGGCCCCCATCCGCAGGGATGGGTGTTGGAAAATGTGTTTGAGTGTGGGTGGATGGGTGGATGGGTGGGGTGGGGGGGGGGCATCTTTCTCTTCACGGATGCGGAAAGGGGAGGGGAGGGGCAACGAACGTGGCGCCGGCGTCGCCATGCAGTCCCCCGCCCCACTGCACCGGCGACTCTCTCATGCCCCACCCCCTCTCACACTTGCGCACGAGACACGCCGATACACCAGCACTGGCATTTGCACGCGCAAGGGGGTTCTCTGAGGACACGCCGACAAAGCACACATCTGTCTATGTGACGCGCGACTGTGACAGGTCTCGGCCCTGGATGCGGGGCGCATGGGCAGCGGCGAAAGAGGGCTCACGGTGTGTGTGCGCGAGAGGAGGGGAGGGGGGGGGAGGGGGAGGAGCGCCGGCCGGCAGTTGGGGGAGGCACCCCGCGGCGGAGCGCGCACATGCACACGCTCGCATGCGGCATAGCCCGGACGCTTAGAGGGAGGCCTCATCGGCCTGCTTGGCGGCGTACTCAGCCTCGAGGGTGGCAAGCTGGGCAGCGCGGCTGGCGAAGGCAGCCTCGTAGCGCTCCTTGTTGCTGACCATCATGAACTTGGTGGGCAGAGAGTCCGGGTTGGTGTTGAGGAAGGGCATGGGCTTCTTCATGTTGATGGCGACATCCTGGCCGTTCATCAGGCGGCCAAGGTAGTAGGTGGCGCCGACGGTGGACAGGGCAATGACCGCATAGATGGGCACGGCGGCGGGCTCGTACCAGGTCTTGAGGATCGAAGCGAAGCGGGACATGGTGTGCGTATGTGTGTGTGTGTGTCTGGGGTGGCGGAGGGGAAAGGAGGAGGGGGGAGGGGGGAGGGTGACGCGGAGATCTTCCAGAGAAACTCCTGCAAGGCGTTGACAAGCCGGTGCCCCCGGCGGGTTGGGAAATCGGTGTGCGAAATAGTTGCCCCCCCCCCTCTCCACCGGCTCTCCCTCCCGCGCCCGGGCCTCCTCGAGAGCATCCGGCCGCGGTAACCACACACCCCCCCGGGCGGGCGCACGTCCAGAGCACGGGAGGGTCAGCGACCCCGGCGTCCGAGGCTCTCCCCTGACATGCAAAGGGCCAAGTTGGGCCCGTTTGCCGCACACCGCCCTGGGCGCGCCGCTTGCACAGCGACACGGCGACCCTCTTGCTGCCCCGGGCCAGACTGCCGCCGGTTACCCACCGCCCGGGGGGGGGGGGAAGTCGTGGGCATGGAAAATCGCACAGCGGACCGTCGCCCTCCGGGAGGGGGGGGGTCGGGGAGGCCCGAAACAAGGTGCTCCGGTGGACGGCCCGGAGCCTGAACCACCGCCGCGCCAGGTCCCCCAGCGTCAAGGCCCCTTGGGCGCGCCCCACAGCGACATGTGTTTGTGCGAAGGGGCACGAAACACGCTCATACGGCCTTCGAGCGGGAGGAGGGAAACTCTTTGATTGCGTGCTCTGCCCAGGGTGGCGAGACCCGGCAACCGGCGGGGAGGTCGCCCATCGGCGTCGGTGTCCGGCTCTCCTTTGCCCGCCCTTGACCGGGGTCCCAATTCCGAGGGAGCCGCCGCCCGGCGATGCCCCCCGCCCCACCCTCACCCTCGCGAATGCGTGCTGCCACTCGGTTGTCGGCCGTTGCTTCCCCTGGCCGCCAGTGTGCTGTTGCATAGTGCGTGTGTGTGTGTGTGTGTGTGTGTGTGTGTGTGTGTGTGTGTGTGCGTTCTCCGCCGTGCCGCCACGCCATAACCCCCTCTCACCGGGGACACCTCGTGCTGGATAAGAACGCCTCTTCCAACCCTGGGGAATATCATTCCGTCGGAAGTGGATAACATGACCCCAAATCATAAACATATGATCGGCCAGACCGCCGGTCAGGCGGAAGCGCGCCGCAGCTCGAGTGACCTGTGCCCCCGGGGCTCCGGGCGCTTGCCAGCCCCAGTGCGCGTTGACGAGCTCGCCCGGCTATGCTGCTGCTGCTGCTGCCGCTGCCGCTGCCGCTGCCGCTGCCGTTGCCGCTGCCACATCCCCCCTGCGCTGCTCCCAGATCCATACTGGCCTCAGAGCCGCCAGGCGTGTCCCAAGCCCGCCGGAGAGGACACGGATATGTCTTCGGCGTGTGTCCCATGCCTACCCGCTGCCTGGGCCAGCGCCGTCCGTGGTGGGCTGTGCCTGTGGGGGGGGGGGGTACGTGCGAGCGTGTGATTGGTCGCTCGGCCATTGGTCTGTTTCGAATTGCGCTCACCGCCCTGCTCCCCCCACACACCATACCGCCCGTGGAGCGGGGGATCCTCAGACGCAAGTCACGGCAGCTCCACCCACAAAGCCCCTCCGCTCTTCCCTATCTGCCGGGCCCCATTTTGTGCCGGGATGGTTCCAAAGTGTTTGGGGCGGCCGGTGGCAGAAGAGCACGGACAATGCATGGTGTCTCTCCCCGGCGGGAGCCGGCACCCTCGTTTCTTTCCGTGTGCCTCTCGGGGCCGGGCTTCCGGGCATTCTCTGCCTTGGCCGCCCCCGTCCCGCTGGCCGAGGGGGGAATCCCCCCTCCCCCGCCCCCCGACCAACCAAGAGAGGCCACGCACGGTCGAGCAAGCTGGCCGGGCTGCCAGCTTCGGGGAGGATGGCCGGGATCTGCCTGCGTACGCAAATCTCGGGAAGTGGCCAGGTAAATAATAACAAAAACAACAATAGTCGACGACTCCTTTTCCGGAAGGAAACCCAGGGCGTGCTGACCGCACCCGTGCCCCGCCTGGCCGACCTGGGGAGGGGGGGGGGGGGGGGGGGGGCAGCGTGTGTGGACCGAATGGTGCCGATCAACTCCAACGGGCTGGAGGCCGTTCGGGGGGGGGGGGAGGGGGGCGAGGCCGGAGGCGAGCCCCTCCCCCCTCTCGTCGAGTTGTCGATCCCCGCCCAGTGGGCCATTCGCCCTTGGACGGTTCTCGAATCGATAGACACGCCCTGGCAGCCGCGGGGCCCCGAGGGAAGACTCTTGCCGGCCCATGGTGCGGGCCCCGTATGGTCCCCTGCGATATGGCAGACTCCTCTTCCCTCCTCTGTTCCCTCCCCCCTCTCCCTGCTTCTCTATCTTGACCGCCAGGATGTCGCCGCCCAAGCGATCCGCCCGTTTTGTTCTTTCAATCGCCCTCTTCGCTCTGCTGGCGTCTCTTCTCCCGGCGCTGGCCTCTTCGAAGGTCTACTTCCGCGAGACTTTCTCCACCCCGGAGTCCCTCGGCCGCTTTGTCCAGTCCAAGGCTCGCGATGACTATGGCACTCTGCGCGTGCGTTGTCCCTTCCTCCTGTCTGCGGCCCTCTCTCACTTGTTCCTTCTCTCTCTCTCCCTCTCTCTCCTTCTCTCTTTGTCTTTGTCTCCCTCTCTCTCTCTCTCTCTCCTTCTCTCTCTCTCCCTCTCTCTCTCTCTCTCTCTCCTTCTCTCTCTCCCTCCCACCCTTCTGACTGACCCCCATCGTCCTGGTCCTTCCCCCACCCTCCGGCTAGCTCTCTCCCGGGGAGATCTTCGCCGACGCGGCCAATGCCCAGGGCCTGCAGACCCACGGCCCTGGGACCCAGTTCATGGCCACGGCCAAGCTGGACGAGGTTTTCTCCAACCGCGACCGGCCGCTGGTCTTCCAGTACCAGGTGAAGCACGAGATCGGCCCGATTTGTGGCGGGACCTACCTCAAGCTCCTGGGCCCCGACGTCGACCAGGAGACCGCCAGCTCGGACACCGACTTCCACCTGATGTTTGGCCCGGATGTCTGCACCAATGTCAATCGCATCCAAGCCCTCATCAAGTACCGCGGGAAGAACCACTCCCTGCGCGTTGTCATCCCCCCGATGAACGACGGCCTCAGCCACACGTACACCTTCATCATCCGGCCCAACCTCACCTATCAGATCCTGGTGGACCACCAGATTGCCGGGTCCGGCTCGCTGGCGGCGCACTTTGACCTGATGCCGCCGTCGCGCATCCCCGACCCCTCGGTCCGCCGGCCGGATGACTGGGATTCGGTGGCCTTCATCCCGGACCCGAATTCCCGCAAGCCGGCCGATTGGGACGACGAGCCGGAGTTCATCCCCGACCCGGATGCCGTGAAGCCCTTCGACTGGGTGGACGAGCATGATGGCGATTGGGACCCGCCGATGACCCTGAACCACAACTACCGCGGCGAGTGGGTGCCGGAGACCATGCCCAACCCGAATTACAGCGGTGTCTGGGTGCATCCGATGATTCCCAACCCGGAGTATGTTCACGACCCGGATGCCTATGTCCTGCCGGACATCGGCCACATCGGGCTGGACGTCATGCAGACCCGGCCGGGGGCCGTCTTCGATAACATCATGCTGACCGACGATCTGGACGAGGCCCGGGCCTTCTTCGAGGAGACCGCCGGCGAGGAGCGTCTGCAGGCCGAGCGCGAGGTCCGCGATGTGCGGGACTCGGCCGCCGCCGAGCGTGCCCGCCTCGAGCTCGAGGAGATCCTCCGTACCGAGAAGGCCTTCGACCAGGCGGTCTATGGCAGCCAGGAGATCGACGTGCACTCGACGCAGCTGGACTCCTGGCGCGATCTGCTGTCCATGAATGACCGTGCTTCGCGCAGTGCCCGCATGGTGGCCGAGATCGCCCTCCAGTCGATCAACGTCGCGCAGACCCTGCGCCAGCGCGAGTTCACCCAGGGCGGCGGTGTGGTCATTGCCGATGAGGCCTCCGAGGCTGCCATCGCCACGCGCAATGCCATCCAGGCGGTTGGTCGTGCCCGCCACGCGTATGCCTCCTGGCTGTCGCGCAACGCCAAGGCCAAGGCCCAGATGGAGGAGCGTGCCAAGGCCATGGAGGAGGCTGCCAAGGCCGAGGAGGCGGCGAAGGCGGCTGCCAAGGCCGAGAAGGCCGATGCCGGACGCGATGAGCTCTGAGAGGCCATCCTTCCCCGGCCATGCCCTTGCCCCCTCCCCTCTTTCTTCCCCCTCCTCTCCCCTCAGATAAGCATGCTGTGTGCGGGTGTGCGGGTGCGCGTGTGTGTCTATGTACGTGCGCGGCACCTCCTCTCACGCATGAGTGTATTATAAACCCGCCCTCCTAGACTTGGGGGGTTTGCGCGTGGCTCCCTCCACTCCTCCTCCTCCTCCTCTTCTTCTTCTTCTTCTTCCTCTCTCTCTCTCTCTCTCCTCCCCTCTGCTTCGCCCCCTCTATCTTCCGGCCCTGTCTCTTTCTCTTGTCTGTGTGCGCAGCCTCTGCGCCCTCCAATACATCCTCCTCCTCCACTGCGACTTTCTCTGGTGCATGCCCCGAAGAAGGCCACCATATGAGGCTATATTCTCACACAGAGTGGCACTAGCCAAACCGGTCAGGGGGATTGTCCATCCCCCTCCCCCGGATGGCGGCGGGCCGGTTGTCTGTGTCACCCACCATGGCTGGCTGCCACTGACGCTGGCTGGCCGAAGATCTCCTCCATCGCATCGAAGAGATACCGCTCCAGGCTGCCGGGACCTGGGACCAGGGCGGACGCGGCCTCCAAGTTGACCCAGAAGTCCACCCCCCGGAAGCCCAGCGGAACGGTGGCCAGCCCGGCGTCGATGGACCCCAGGTCTGGAGCCTTGCCGGCCACCAGGGGGCTTTGCAGCGACCCGGGCTTCTCCGAATCCCCCCGGTGGAACTTGGCCACGCCGTCCAGGATGGCGGCCCGAGCTGTGCGCATGACTGTGGCCAGGTACGTGCGCTTGATGGGAACTGTATTTTGGCGAGGTAGGCACGCAGGCGGGCGAGCGGACGTGTGTGTGTGTGTGTGTGAGAGAGAGAGAAAGAGAGAGGGAGGGATAAAAGGAGCTAAGCAAGATGCGAGAGCACCGCTGGTCCGTCCAGGGTGGTTTTCCTCCATCCGGTGAGCGAGCGGCGTACCTTCTGCTTCCGGCGGATGGATGATGACCGGGGCCGATACCCGGCTGGCGCCATGGCGACATGCCTCGAGGATGGCCGACCGAAAAAGCGAGAGAATGCCCGAGGGGGTGGCCTCCGGTGCCAGGATATGCAGCCCCACATGGCAGAAGGGGAGGTTCGAGTGTCGGGTAGTGACAATCCCGACTGCTGCTGGGGTCAGTATATCCTTCCCCTGAAGACCAGGAACAGAGGCAGAGTGCCCGGGAAGCTGTACGGACCTTCTGGCGAGCGGGGCTGCCGGCGGAGAGCCTCGACCGCGGCAGTCCACTGACTGCCTGGCGGCTGGAGAAGCAACTCGGCCACGGGCGAGGCTTGAGTGGCTCGGGTGAAATCTGGCGGCAGGTCGCAAATTCGAGGCAGACGGCGCCTGTCAGAGGTGGACATATGGCGTGGGGGACGCCCAGGAGGAGGAGGAGGAGGAGGAGGAGGAAAGGGAACGTACCCGGGTCAGGACCGGCGAAGGCATCTGACAGGCGCACCGCGAAACGAGCACCCTTTTCCCCGAAGAGTGACATGCGCTCGGCCACCTCGCCCGGCCGGGGAGCCCGTATGGAAGCCGCATGGCGTTGATGCTGGATTGGCGCATGAAAGGGCGAAAGGTACAAGGGGCCGAGGAGGGGCCCGGGAAAAGTCATCCATGCAAGAAAAAAAAAGAGAAGAGATGTCTGGTCAGAGGGGCAGCGCGTGTGCATGAGGGAAAGAAAATGGACCAGGATGGAGGAGGGCACCCGGGAGGACGTACTGCCTGGCAATAGTGCTCGACCAAGGCCGGGTCCTTGGAGAGGAGGCGCACGCGAACGTGGTGCTGGCCAGCAGACCCGGCACCAGTGGCGTTAGTCCCCCCGGGGGAGGCCAGCTTGAGATTCCACTCACCGAGGACATACTCCGCGGCGGAGGGAGGCGACCGGGCCGGTCCAGTCCGACTTGCCGGACTGGCTGCCGGGTCGACTGTCCGCTGGAGGCTGGAGAGAGCCCGTCGGCTGAGGGACATGGAGCTCCGAGAGGATTCGGCCGGGGTGGCAGGCGCCGGGGTCGGGGTCGATGGCGACACGACGCCCGACAGGGATGCCGAGCTGCTGGATTCCGACAGCGAGGAGGAGCGCTGCCGGTTGGTGAAGCTCCCGGAGGACAGGCGCCCAAAGGCCCCGGCGAGTGATTGCCGTGCCGTGGCTGCCAGTGTGGTGATCGACTCGCTGGAGGCAATCTGGCCAAATACTGGAAGTGAAGCGGTTACGAGGGCGGTGCCGGCCGCCATGGGTCAGCCGGGTGGCAGAGTGACAAGTTGGTGATGGGAGACGAGGAGGCACGCTGCGCACCGGAGGATTGGGAGGATCCCGAGGTGCTGGATTCCTGGAGCTCTTTGTCCACCAGGTGGGGACGGTCAAAGAGCAGCGAGATGGCGTCGGTCTTCGTGGTCGTGGTCGTGGTCGTGTGTGTGTGTGTGCCGACATCGACAGTTAGTCAGCATCAGAAGGTGCCTGCCCGATGGAAATACCATGCATCTCCCTCGGCCCAGGCGGTGTGCGGGATACGGACCACATTCCCCTGGGCCAGGCGAAGGGCGGCTCGTGCGCGATCTGGCTCAATGCCGAGGTCGGTCAGCTGCAGCATCGGCGCGTCGTGGACGGCGGCCGGAGTGGCACCCGGGGTCGGGGCTGAGCCCTCGCGCGGCGATCGGGCCGGCACATCACCAGTGGCCAGGAGGTTGGGTGTCGAGTCGGATGGCATCAGGCCCGATGCTGACAGGGCATCCATGTCGAAGAGGTTCTCCGACAGGATGAGCAAGTCCTCGGGCATCAGCTGTCGGGCCAGATCGTATGCCTGCACCACCTGCCGGCGGAAGATCCGCCCCCGGGCCAAGGTGTCTTGCTCCAGTTGTGACTGCAGAAGGGTCTGCTGGGTCTGGTGGCCGGCGAAGAGGGAGAGGCAGGTCAGCGGAGACCCAGACGGGATGGCTGTGATGTGCAGGCGGGCAGAGGGAGAAAGAGCGAGAGCGAGAGCAAGGGGGGGGGGGCGAGGGAAACATCTCGTCAAAAGAGAACGCCCTGAAGCATGGTGGCCCGAAAGGCAGGCTACTCACCTTAAGCAAGTCCCACACGACCGACACATTGGCCGGGTCGAACTCGCGGCTGCGCGCTTCGGCGTCGCTCCTGCATAGGCGAGCAGGGTCCGTCGTCGCGAAGGAGGAAGAGGCGGCCGATGGGGGGCAGCACAGTGGTTAACAGGCGCAAGCAGAGGGCCACATGGCAGCATGGCCGGGAGGGAGGGACGCATTGCAGGCACACCTGGCCATGGAAGCCGCGCTATCAGTCGCGGACAGCTGGTCAAGATGCCCGAGGGAAAGTTGGTCCATCAGCGCCAAGACCGCCGGAGCCAAGGCCGGGAGGGCCATCAGCCGGCAAAAGGCTCGCGCAGCCATGACGGGAGTATCATCTCGCCGAGTGGCGTTCGGGCTGGAGGCAGCCACTTCAGGAGGTGTGGTGGATTGCGCGTGCGACAGGGGGGTCGTCTGGCCGATGGGGCAGACGCCTGGGTTAGCTTGTTACATCGCCGGCGGAGAGGGGCGCCGGCGGATGGGTGCGTACCGGCTGCGAGGTGGGGTCGGGATCGGCCGGGGTGGATCCGGGCGCGAGTGCGGCACCACGCAGGTCGCTTGGACACTGGCCTGCAGCGGCCTGGCGTGCGAACCGCAGGTGGGTCTGCTGGACCGTTTGGATGAGAATCGGGGCGGCGCGCTCGAACCAAGCATCCGCCAGTTGGCAAACACGCGAATCGGCCACACCCGGAGCAAAGAGCCCGGCACAGCGGTCACGTAGGACCGCTCGCAAGGTTGCCAGCACCGGCTGCCCCTGGTCCATGGCCAGCTCCAAGCGGAGAACCAGTGCCTGTGGTATGGCCGAGGCGTCGGGTGTGTTGGCTGCCCGGTCGGCGCCTGGGGGTACTCGGACTGGCAGGGCCAAGCCGACCTTGATCGGCAGGGGGCACAAAACCTCGGTGGCCAGGGACTCGGGCATGCTTGGCGCGCGTGTGCGAGCTCTCAGCCGGCCTTCTCGTGGGAATGGGCCACAGCGATCGGACGGGGCAAGGAAAGGGGGGGGGGGGGGGGGGGAGGGCCCGGGGGCGGCGGCAGACAGAGGAGGCAAAAGGCAGGATGAGGGCCAGTGTGTGAGAGAACGACCGCGGGTGTGTCCTGCGGATGCGGAGCCCCAGAAAAACGCCGC